CTAGTGTTGCCAAGGCATTTAAAATATTCGCTGCTAAGTCTCTTACATATTTACAGTCACCGTATATGGAATTTCATAACTACATAAACGTAAATTTATGTTTATTACTAGTTCAGCAAAACCTTTTAAAAATGCCCTCTTGCACTATGTTAATAGATAAAGCTGAAGATGTCGATCATGCTGTTCATAACTTAAACAGTAGATAACAAGCTTTACAAGGTCTAGAAAGTAAAAATGCTGTTTCAGTACATTATGTTTGTTTTGTGTGTGTGTGTGTGCAACCTCAGCTTTAATTCTATTGGCCCTTTAATTTACGCCCATGGCTTTTGAGCGGTAAGTCTGAGGGCTCAAGAAGCTAAGATTCATGTTTCGATACCCGCGGTGGTTGTACCCCAGATAGTCCTTTGTGTTGCTTTGTGCTTAAGATCAAAGAAACAAGAAAAACCACTGATTTATCAATGTATAGATTTAATTACCTAATTTTGAAACCCTTAATTTTGAAAATGGAAAGTATCATATTAGTTTCTGTATTTATAATAATTTTATTATTTTATATAAAATGTTCAAAATGGAACGCTGGTGTTGCTATCTTATATCTTCAGTTTTATGAAAAACGCAATTTGTTAAGATGTAAGTACAGATATATCGATGGTTTAATTACTTTGGATAATCAGAGTATTGATAACTATATTATTGCCATATATTCTGTTGAAATGTGAATATAAATTACTTTGTCATCAAATGCGCAAAATATTGTTTAGAATTAGATAAAAAAGTAAGAAATGGATTGTTTGAAATATTATTGATAAACGTAACCACCAACAATTGTTTTTCCAAATATATGAAGTTCCTTCATTTAATAGTAACGTGGCTTCATCTTAATATATACGTTTTAATTTACTTGAATTTTCCAGAATTTCTATTAATTGTAATATTTTCTTTCTGGTGTAAAATTGCTAATTTTAAGACTTTAGATTGTTAAAAACTATATTTATTTATTAAACTTTGTCCTCTGGCAAGTTAACGATAAGTTTACGGCCTTATAACTAAAATCAGGAGCTCAGATCCACACAGTGGACAGAGCGAAGATAGCCTATTTTGTAGCTTTGTGGTAAGATGAAAAAAAATCAACAACAACAGAAAACATACTATTTTTTTATATTCAAAACAAACATTGTATAGCTGTACTCAGATACAAATTTGATATTAAAGAGGCTTTGTATAAAATTGTGAAAACTGTTACGTAAAGAATAAAACATTTTTATGTAATAGTTACCTTTGATAACTAGCTAATGCATTTTAAACGGAATACGCGGATTTAAGATCATTAATTAAATTAATCGCGCACCTAATATGATTAGAGTGATAATTGGACAGGTTTTATATTTCTGCTTTTTAGAATTTGGAGGGAAAATTCCCTCTGTCATTTTTCAAATAATAGTGTGAAATGCAGATATATGATTTCTATCTAATTATAGTAATATAGGAATTTAAAATATAGTCATTTAGTTAGTTTCTATGCAGTTTTGACAAACACACAGTTGTTCTAGCTATATTTCGCCTTCGTTCTCTATAGTAGATAATATCGACTCTACCCGAGTAGTAACATCGCACATCTCTATTGAAAGTAACAATAAGTGTTTTAAGTAGTGAGAAGTAGAGTGGATGCCTGTCAGGTTATAAGGTGGACGAAGGTTATGTTTTCACCTCTGTGTGTGCGCGTGTTTATGCGCTTTTTAGCTAGGTTTGTCGAAAACGGCTGAATGGAATTGGGCTATGACCCAACTTAAAAGTTTTTAGTTTTTGGATGGCAAAGGTCAAGGTCACAAAAATCCCAAAAAATCTCTATATGTTAACATGAAGACTAATTTTTCACACTATTTTTGCTCTATAACTCAGTCGAAAATAATCGGATTTTGATGAAACTTATGGACATATGTAAAATATTACTCCTCATTGTCCTGCAAATATGGACCGTGTTTGTTGATAACGACGGAAATACGGACGCACTTTCGAATTGTTTCAGCGAAATATGATCAACGCTGCGTGGCAAAGGTACGTGCTCTATTGAATGCGTCTCTCTCTAGTTATGTCAGAAATTATATAATGTGACTGCTTGTATAGATGCTTAAACAATTGTCTCTATTAGATTTGTGAATAGAATTTCAGCTTTTCTTCTGAAATGAATCTCTGCTGAACTAGTCACGATCAAAGCCAAGCGAACTGAAAGAAAACCAAAGTTCTGATCTGGCAAGTAACCTTTTCTCTTGTGGCAGCGTCACCAGCTTACTTATCCTCTCACAGCTTCAGATATAATATACAGTTTGGTTTAGTTTGAATGTCGCGTAAAGCTACACGAGGGTTATCTGCGCTAGCCATCTCTAATTTAGTAGTATAAGACTAGAGAGAAGGCAGCTAGTCATCACCACCCACCGCCAACGAATAGTGGGATTGACCACCTCATTATAATGCCCCCACCGGCTGAAAGGGAGAACATGTTTTATGGGAAGGGGGATTCGAACCCGCGACCCTCAGATTGTGAGTCGAGCACCCTAACCACCTGGCCATACCGGGCCGAAATGTTATAGAACGCAGTGTATCTGTTATCTTCATTAATATTAGTAACAGAATGTTTTGATTTTGTTGTCGAAATGTTTGGCAAGTAGTGAATTTTCTTTGAAGAGAAAAGTAGCAAAGAAGCACAACCACTTGAGGTTTGTAATAGCATAATTTTACCAGGTGTTTCTTATAAAGAGTACTGCAGAATATATTTTGACTGAATCAAGTTGCAATATTCATAAGTAGGTAAAATTATGAATAATAATATGAAATTCGAACACAGTGGCTTAAATATAATAATAAATAGAAATATGATGTACCCACGTGTTTTTATTTAGTTGTGATAGGAATCGTGCAGATTGAAATATTTTAATAAGAAAACACTTATACTGAATATTTTCTTAATGTTGATTCATTACAAAATACAGTATTGAAGCGTCAAAATGCAGACTGTAAGTGTACTATGGGAAGGTAGAAAGTAACACTCATGAGATAAAAATATTTTGTTATTTGCACTAAATATTACTACAAAGTTAGTATATGAAAGTAAGTCAACTAAAGAAAGTGAATAGAAGCATTACTGAAAGAAAGCTAACAGTTGAAGGTAATGGTTAATGCCACCTTAGTCAGCTTGAAAGTGTATGAACATGTTGCGGTCTCGAGCTCTATTTCTTCCTACTGGAAGCGGATGCTATTAATGGTACAAGTGAATAGAAGCATTACTGAAAGAAAGCTAACAGTTGAAGGTAATGGTTAATGCCACCTTAGTCAGCTTGAAAGTGTATGAACATGTTGCGGTCTCGAGCTCTATTTCTTCCTACTGGAAGTGGATGCTATTAATGGGACAATTGAACAGTAAGAAGAATGAAATTGGGACAACATAGAGCAGAACAGCCACAGGATGTTGGTCAGGTGAGACTCGTAGAAGCCTGGGGTTGGGAATGAGCTTTTGATCAATGAAATTTGCCTGACCTCACATTCGAATCGGGACTTTTGTACAAAATATCATATCCTCAATGCTTTTGGCTATCTATTTTTCGACTAGACAGTGTATTTTCATTCTTCGCTACCGAGTATTCCTGAAGTACTTTTTGTTGCTTGATTGACCACCTGAATGACTCAAAACCATGATGAGAAGACACTAGCTTGGATGAAGATGTTAGCCAAAGCAGACCCACTGATGGTCAGCCTTTCTGTTACCCAACTGGTGAAGAAGATTTTAAAATCAAAAGTCCACCAACAGTTGGATGGTTACGGAAAATGTCCACATGAGAGCTTCACACAAAAAAAGCACATTACAACTTCCTTGTAAGAATTGTGTGAATATGTAATGTAAATTATTCTTACTTCTTCATTTCATTTCCTTTTTCTTTTTACACATGTATATAAGACATTAAAATTTATTTGTGGATATAGCTATTTTTATTATGGTTCGTTTTTTTATGAATAAAGGTTTCATTTTACGTTTCTTTTATTTTGTCCTTTATTTGAAGAGGAGTTAATGTTCTTATGAAGGTTTTGTATCTAGATCAATTATGTTTTGATTGAAATAAAAAGCTTGATTTAGTTATATGTACCTCAGTGAAAAGTTGTTTTAAATATGCACTTTCACCTATTGTAAAGAATTTTCTGTAAGTATTAGTTTTTGCCATAAAATGTTTTATTTGCTTCATTATTACAGAGTATTGCATTTTAATTCTGCACATTTTTCAATCTTAAGGTTTTAGTATGTTGTATTATGATACTTACAGTATCATTAATTTTTTAATGTATTAGTGAACAGGCTGTTAGATTACATCTTCTAAAGGGGTGGGCAATTATTTACTTTTTTAAATATGTCATTTATGTATGTACTTGCCTATTGCTTTTCTCTTCATCAAAGGGTACTGATGTGTTAAAGGGCCATTTTATGTTCTACTTTATTAACGTTTTTTATTGTAGTATGTAATATAATTTTTGCATCTTGAAAAAAGTAGGGGTCTTTTCTTTCACTATTAAATATATTCAATTTTAAAATATAACTATTTTCTGTTGATGTAATTCACGTTTAAAATTATGACCAAAGGGTTTTATTGCAACACTGTTGTGTGGTAGCTTATTAAATCCTAGTTTAAAGGGTATTTATGTGTATTTGAATTATAATTCTTTGTTAAATGGTTTTCTCGTCCATATGGTATGTTTGTATTCTCAGGAATTATGAAAAGTCATTATGCTTCTTGATCATGTCACTAGTTTAAAGATTTTTGGTTTTGATGTTAAATTTAATTGTAGGCTTGAAGACAAGTCGGAAACAGTGGAGGAAGGAACAGTGTCATATGTAGAGGTATCATATGTTTCCACCTGCCTTTAATAACTTAGGAATTTTTAAAATTCGTTTAATTAGTTTTTATGCACTTGTAACATAAAAAAAGACATAGTTCAGAAAATGTTTGAATGTATTTTATTCTAATTCGCTTTATTTCTTTGTTTTCTATAGCAGATAATGTATACTTGGCCCAAGTAAATATTGAAGTAACGTCACTTGTCCATGTTGAAAAGGCCAAGTACTGTAATGTTTCTTGTTAGATGAACTGATGTCTGTATGCTAGAGTTTATGAATGTTGTGAGAGAATGACCATTCACATAGTGATGCTTTCATAAGATAAAGGATACAAGGTTTCTCACAAGATTGGAACTTTAGTTCTTCCAGTTCTACTTAGGTTTCATTGTGACTAGTTCTACAGAGATTCATCTTGAGATGAAGAAAGCTGAAGATCTATTCATCAATCCAACAGAGATGATTTTCTTAGCTTTTACAAAAGCGCGCACAGTTTTCCTTTTTAATATCATAAAGATTTGTTTTACATTTAACACCACACAAGTCCAGTCTAGTTATTTGTCATTGCATAAAAGTCGATTTTAAAGTCAAATTGCTCCACAAGTTCCTTATTGACTCCCTCCACCATTATCAAGCACCCATATTCGCTACTTGCATGAAAATTGTTTATAAGAGTACACCTCAAAAGTGAGTTGTAACTTAGAAGTCATAGGTATTAATATGCCATGCATATAACCATTTGAACATTATGGCAACATCAAGAGATAATTTTTAACTTATTCCAATTGACCCAGCTGTATTAGTTAGTTTTTGTTCTACTAATTTTCTCATTAGATGGAACTACTTTCTCGCAACTAGTTGTAGATGATGAATGCTAGTTTCAGATGTGGGACTTTGTGAGACCAAGTACTTTTATTTGCTCTTATTTTTTTTGATCATTTATATCTGAGGCATAAGATTAAAAGTTAAACTTGATAGACGATTTGTCTATCGTAATGTAGGTCTTATTTTCGAGGATACCTTTACTAAATTCAAGGAATTTATCAATGATAGCAAACAACGTGTACTAATAAGCCAACCACATATCCAGTACCGACGAGGCTTTTTGCCCAATACAAGGATACAACAGACATAGTAGTAATCTAGGTGCTATTTATATCATCTATTGGTTGAACAGCAACTGTTCTGGTGTGAATTAAAGTGAGTAAGTGAAGTGTAATAGTCATTAATTTTGTATTTAACTCATTTAGAATTTAAGATTACAGTTAGTATGAATAACATACTTATTTTAGCAACAATTATTTTGTTTTAATTTTTCTTACTTACATCACCTTCATTATCGTTAAGAAGAACTGACAAACCAGCTAGCTAATCACCTTAATTGTCCATAAGAAGAACTGACAAACCAGCAAGCTAATCACCTCATTGTCCTTAAGAAGTGCTGAAAAACTAGCAAGCTAATCACCTCATTGTCCTTAAGAAGAACTGACAAACCAGCAAGCTAATCACCTCACTGTCCTTAAGAAGAACTGACAAACCAGCAAGCTAATTACCTCATTGTTCTTAAAAAGAACTGACAAACCAGCAAGCTAATCACCTCATTGTCCTTAAGAAGAGCTGACAAACCAGCAAGCTAATCACCCCATTGTCCTTAAGAAGAGCTGACAAACCACCAAGCTAATCACCTCATTGTCCTTAAGAAAAGCTGAAAAACCAGCAAGCTAATCACCTCATTGTCCTTAAGAAGAACTGACAAACCAGCAAGCTAATCACCTCATTGTCCTTAAGAAGAACAGGCAAACCAGCAGGCTAATCACCCCATTGTCTTTAAGAAGAGCTGACAAACCACCAAGCTAATCAACTCATTGTCCTTAAGAAAAGCTGACAAACCACCAAGCTAATCACCTCATTGTCCTTAAGAAGAGCTGACAAACCACCAAGCTAATATTCTTCTTCCTGGAATGGATGTTGACATCATAGCATCAACGTGAGAAAACTAGAACTGTAATTCTAAGAGCTTATAAGTGAAAGCATTGAATGTGAAATAATATCCAAAGCCAAGGAGGCCTTTCGCCCAATATCAGGACTCAGACTGGCTGGGTGAGTTCGAGTTTCAGCGCAAAGTTACACAATAGGCTATCTTCGTTCTGTTCATTCCGTGGAATCGAACTTCAGATTTTAGCGTTGTAAGTCCGTATACTTACCACTGACCCACTGGGGGACAGCCTGGCCTGGATACAAGATATATAATAGTGGTCTAGATTCTATTTTCATCATCAATGGCATGAACAACAATAGTTTTGGTGAAAAGTAGATTAAGTAAGCGAAGTATAATCGTTATCAGTTTTTATTCAAGCCAATTACAATGTAGAATGATAGTAAGGATTAATAACACAGTATTATTTATTATGAATGTACTAGCACATTTAATTTAACAAAAAAAAGGGGAGTCTTGAAAAATTCACATCAGCAATTTATTGATACTGAAAAATAAAACTTGTGATATCTCTAATTGTAACTTAGAAAAAAAAAAGTATTTCATTCGTTCCTTTATTTCTTTTTCCAGTGTGAAAGTGTCGTATAATTGTAGCTGGAAAAATGGCGTCTTTCTGTTCTAGAGGACTTAGGATTTGTAGTCGACAGCTGTTGAACAGTCAAGCAAGGAATTTTTCTAAGTTTCCGACAAAGATGAGAGGTATAGAGATGTTTATTATAATAATTTATAATAGTGTATATAAATAATTACATTTAAGTTTACCGTAAAATATTCTGAAAATAAATGAAATAGAAATTTTGCTTTTGTGTGCTTTATACGGATTTAACTGAGTTTCATAAATTTGTCTTGGGAATATCATACTAAAATCATGGTTAGGCGTTGTTTGTTGGTCAGAATATAAAATGCGAGCTCATCAGTAAAATATTTTTTTTACTTAATTTCGTGTGTAAAAAACATGGCCATATAACATATTCAAATCACATGGCTTCAGTGATATCCCGGGTTTTCTTCACCCTCCCCCCGTCTAGCACGACGTTCTTCAGGGGGTTTACCTGCTCATCACCACGTAAACTTTTCCTTACTGATGAATTTCCAGGTTGGATGATTATCAAATGGAACAAAATATAGGAAGATCATAATGTATGTGAGCATTTACAAACATTTCCTGGTTGTACAGGCCAAGAACAACAAAAGGAAATTTCAATCATACACAGACTTATTTGTAACTACATGACGGCTTTTAAACTTTAATAAAACATATTTCAAATGAATAAAAGGGAAAATAAACCAGGCTACTTGACTTCTTTCGGAAACTATGGTCACAGTAGGATTTGTAAAAGTTGCAAACTAATGAAACTCTTCATGACGATATTCATATGTGACTATATTCGTTGTAAAATTTCCATGGACCTCATGTGTTAAGACCAATAGTGATTAAACTTGTTTATGACATAGATACACTAGGACGTAAATAAATAGACAATTAGTTCATTTTTATATATTTTACAACATTTTCAAAGCGTCCATACCTAAAACTGAAATGGCACGTTTGAGAAATAGATTATAATTAAACGTTACTCTATCACAATGCTTAAAGCAGAAAAGGTAATCACAATTAATCATCACAACACATAAAACTAAAAATTTATGAAATTAAGTGTCAAACTTTCGCGGGCTAGAATCCGGGTTTCGATACACGTGGTGGGCAGAGCACAGATATCCCTCGTGTAGCTTTGTGCGAAATTCATAACAAACAAACAAAAAATTTTATTGTAGAAATGGCTTTCCAATTCATGTCATAGCTTGAATATTGGAGATTATTTAAAAAACAAAGTAAACCATCTAAATTTCAAATTCCAAAATATCTTATTGTCATTGTTTTGCTATGTATGAGTAAATATCCCTTGATTTAAAAAAAAATCAATTGAGAAATGTACTTCAAATGGTTTTGTTTGTTGGTGTGAAGTTAAGTACAAAGCTGCATAATGGGTTATCTGTGCTCTGCACATCATGAGTATCAAACCCGGTTTCTAGCGATGTAAGTCTGCAGACATACCGCTGTGTCACTAGGGGGCACTTCAGATGGAATACCCACAAGTACAGCTGAGATTCGTTTTCAAACCTAACTGTCGCTTACAATATAGTTCATTTAGAACCAAGGATCGTATTTCAGAATTGATACCTTCAAATGTAGTTTGTAAATACATGTTCCATCTGCCATCAAAGCTATATGGAGTCCACTAAAAACTTTAGGTCATTGTTTGAGAATTTCTAAGTCGAGTGTATTTTAACATATCCTTGATGAATATGACGTGGTCGTTTTTAAAACCAATTTACAACGTTAGCAAGGGCCAATAATCGACACAGCTTATTCATTTAAAGATTGAGGCCAAAAATCAAGTTAATTTTATAAAAGACCTTTGGTTATTTAAATGCATGACTGTCTTGTTCACAGTATTTCGTTTAAATAAATATTTGCTTATCAGGTAATGAGAAATATTCTTTGTTTGACGTTACGTAATTAATCTTAACGAGGAGTGATGTATTACCGATTTTACCATTGAATGTCATTGTCCCTCCCACTTTCTGTTGCCTTACAGAATGTGTGTGTGTGTATGTATATATATATATATATATATATAATTTTTCAATTAATATACATTAAAAGGAAGGATAACGTGAACACAGTATATCCAAACCTTAGATAAATTATAGCTAGATTTAGGTATCTTGGGAAAAACGTAGCCACAAAACAAACATCCAATCCCGAGGAACAAATCGTAAGGTGGGTCATTATGTATTGTGCTCTTGTTTTTGAAGTACTGGCGGAAGTAAGACTCAAATTGCGTTGGGAAGTACCCCATCTATCTTCTTTGACCTTAATTTTCATCGGCTTCTCATGCTTGGAGAGAGAGAGAGAAAAAGGATAAAATATGGATGTTCAGGCCCACATTTTTACCACTTTTCGCCGTCTTCAGCCAGTAGTGAGAAGGTAGTTGGTTATTTGTTACATTTGGAGGAAAAAAAAGAAAATTTATAAGAAAAAATAAGAAGGAGAAGTAAAAATAATTAGGGTATTATACATCATTAGGGAAGACAGCCCAATATGATGTTTGGACATAAAAAGCTAAGATGTTGTGGTACTATTATACTAAACCCCATACTTTCGAAGAAAGGAACATGAACGAAAGAAACGTATAAAGAGAGGAACGTATCTATCTATCTATCTATCTATCTATCTCTCTCTCTATGTATATATATATATATATATTTGTTGTTGTTCAGTTTATAGAAATGACAACTGGAAAAACGCACTCACTTTGGAAGCAATCTTTTCTTGCAATTAATAAAATGACAAGGAACAGTGGCATCCAACACAAAAAATTCCAGCGGCTATTTAGCAAGCTCGAGTGCTTTACTGTGCTGGATGAATCCATTGCATCGAAACCCAAGCATTTTTGCCAATAATACATTACAGTCAGTCTCCTTTGCTTAAAAACAAACGTAGTGCAATTTTCCACAGTAACACATGGAATGACAAAAGACGGTTGTAAATCCCACTAAACAATCATATTGCATATAAGTTCTGCTCTATTTCTATTCATCACTATTTGTAGGAAAATTACCGTTGAATTGTTTCAGCAGGCACCTGCTAGTATTACTATAATGTTTAGTTATCTTAATATCCAAATCTAAATAATGTATTTCAGTGTTTGATATGGAAGTATTTTCGACTTGTAAAACCCGCAGGGCAAATGTTACCAATATAATTACTAATTTCCGGATTATTAATACTGATTAGATTATCAATATATGACTTCGAAAATAAACTTGGATTTATAAAATTATTTATACATTTACATTAATAATAATATAGATTTAAATTAACAACACAATTTGAATAATTAGCTCCCATCGATATATTCACTATTTATTTAAAAAAATGTTTATAAAAATATACATGATTATTATATAAATAAAAACTAAATATGTTTTTAATATTACGGTAAAAGTTCGAGTTTCTTATTTCATAAGTAGGTCAATAAATTGGTGAAATAAAATAATATGTAGTGTTATAGAATCATGCGAAAGTTTAGAAATTTGCAAAATATTAAAAATTTTATGTTTATGAATAATTACTATCTATGAAAATTTGTATGTTGATAATTCTTTAATTATATCATTCAATATAATGTTTATCTGCTGCTAAGGTTATGTAGCTTATTGAAATACTACATTATGAGACAGCAGCAAGGCTACGGACTTACAACGTTAAAATTCGGAGTTCGATTTCTCAAGATAGACACAGGAAATAGCGCATTGTGGTATTGCTCTAAAATAAATAAATGTTTAAACTTATTATCAGTTTTAACTACGAAATTCCAAAAGGATCACTTGAATATAATTATGAATATTCTAAAAATGATTTGGATATGAATATTCTAAAAAATGATTTGGATACGAATATTCTAAAAAATGATTTGGATATGAATATTCTAAAAAATGATTTGGATACGAATATTCTAAAAAATGATTTGGATACTCAAACTTTTTGGCAGGTTTTTTCACAAACATATTATAACTGGAAATCTGGAAATAACAGAAGATAATTCCTTACTGAATATCATGGCAACAGATGCTAAATACAGAATAGTTGTAAACAAATATATTTTAAATTCTATAAAGAAAAACATAGATTATTATATTCTAAAACTGAATTATACAAAACATTATCCTCCAAATAGGTTTTTTAGAATGAAGTTTTTATGTTATTATTAAAATAAAAGATAATTTATCTTTTATGAATTTACATGGATATCCGATATATTAAACGTTTTTAAAACTGAAAACTAATATTCGTAAAATACAGAACAAATGTGTTATCACAAACATTTAAATTACAAAATAATTCTGAAGAAGATATTATTAATAATTTCTTGAAAGCTGCTAAAAATGGATGTTAAGTGAAATTCATATTTAAAATTACTGTATCTGTATGCAATACCTAAATTCCATAAATCTCCCACCAAATTCCATTTTATTTCTAGTTTGGTAAATACTATACTGAAACAAATTGCGGTTTTATTAAGTAACCTATTGAGCCAGTTACTTATTAAAATGCGGCAAAATATAAATAATAAACATATCTTTTGGATAATTAATAATAATGAACCTGTTCTAATAACCCTAGAAAATTTAAATAAAGCACAATTAATAGATAGAATTCAAACATACGATTTCAATATATTACTTACGATTATACAACTTAATATTTGTATTGATGGAAAATTCATTAACAGATAAATTTATTGATCTCCTATAAAAGTAGAAAATCGAACATTTACAGCTAATAATATAAAAACGTATTTAGTTTTTGTTTATATAATATAATCATGTTAATAAATAAATTTTTAAAAATAGAGGTATACCGATGGGAGCTCTGTTTGCTGCAAAGTACAAAGCTACACCGCCCACCACAGGTATGGGTGTCTAATGAAAGCCAATTATTTAAGTTGTGTCGCTAAATTATTATTATGAAAATTAATTAATAGAGTTTATAAATCCAGATTTATTTTTCTTGGCATACAACGATGATCTAATCAGTATTAATGATCCAAAAATTAATTATCATATTGGTTAATTTACCATGTGGTTTTTGCAAATCTAAAATACTTCCATATCATACACTATATCTATTG